AGAAAATTTTAAATTTTAATTTTCTAATTTTAAATATTAACTAGCATTCATTTAAAAAAAAAAATAATTTAGAATGATCAATCATCAATTTATATATATTACTCAATCAGAAATTGATTAATTTTTGAAATTTTTCTTTTCTTTTTGATAAAAAAAAAAGAAAAGAAAAAATTTTTGAAAAATTTGTTTTCAGTTTTTTTTTCTTTCTTTTATTTTTTTTTGCTTTTTGGTGGAATTTACTGTTTGTTATGCGATTTTATCAATTTGTTTTATTCTTGCAATAAAATTTTGTATTTTAAAACGATTCATTTTTCATTTCTTTTATATTATCAAATTTTATTGCTGAAAATGCATTTTGCTTTTTTGTTTTGTTTTCTTTGTTTTGAATTTTTAGCTAAATTAATTGTTTTATTTATTTAAAATAATTTTTTTATTTATCTAAATTAAGTGTTTTATTTATTCAAATTATTTGTTTTATTTATCTACGCTAATAAAATTATTATTCCATTTCAAATTTAATGTGTTAAAGTATTAAATTTCTTTTTAAATTTTTTTTTTTAGCTGTGAGAGAGTAATAAGTATAATTAATGCTTCATTTATTAGCTTTTCAATTTAAGAATTTAACTTTTTTTTTTCACTTTAAGCAACTTTAAATCATAAATTAACATTTGATAACAAAATACTACAAATATTTGTCAACATTTCACGAATTTATTTACTTTTTGTTTGCAATAATAAACAAATGAATCATTTGAAATATTTATTATAAATTTTTTTACAGATTGAAATTATAGCTCTGATAAATGACAATATTTTATTTCGCATTTTTAAACCTTACTCAATTACTTTAAAATTGCCTTTTTTTAAAAAAAAACAAAAATTATTTTTTAAAAAATTTTAAAAATTACTTTTTAAAGTTACTGAAGGAAAGAAAAGAAAAAATACAATGTTACGTTTAATTGTTAAATAATTTTTTTTCAAATAATACATTCTGTCATTGTTTGAATAAGAAAGTTTTTTCTCTTTTTTTTTTTTGCAATTATCTGTGCCTCATTAAACATTTTATTAGCATAGATTTTAAATGTTAAAGAAAAGTAAATAAAACAAAATTTATAATTGATACTAAAATTATCACTATCAGTACAACAAATGATAAGTAAACAGTATAATCTTTGGTAATATTATCAGTATAATATGATTTTTACATGGATGATAAATAAAATAGTATATAATATTATTTTAATTACTTATATTACTTTTTATGTTGTATTATATTATTTTATTTATAATTTTACCTATTCAATAAGACAAAAACTATTAGCGAATAAGAAATACGTGAATATAACACGAAGAATCGTAGATATATAAACGTACGTAGAAACAAACGTTACGAGAAAAGAGTGATATTAACTGTTTGCATTGAAAAAAAAAAATTACTTATAGAGAAATATTAATTTAACAATAATAATTGACGCATAGTTATGTATTATTGGAAAGTAAAATAATTTATCTGTTCGAATGTATTTTATTACTTTCAAACGCTTAAACGTGTAAATAATTTTACGTATACTTACCTGAACATTTACATTTTATTATTATTGTTATTATCATTTACTATTGATTGTTATTGTCATTACCATTTGTTATTATTGTTATCATCATTTACTACTTATTATTAGTGTTATTATCAATTATTATTTATTATTATTGTTATTTCAGTTGTTATTTACTATTATTGTCATCGTTATTATTTATTATTGTTATTTATTATTATTATTTGTTATTACCGCCATTGCTATTACTATATTATTATGCTATTATATTATTATTATTGTAATTCTTGATTATTAGCATTTTTACTATTGCCATAACTATTAATTATTATTTCAATAATAATAATTAATGTTTATTATTATCACAAAAATAAACAAAAAAAAAAAACTCTAACAATGAAATATAATTTAAATCTATGATATTTTCCCCTGCAAAATCATTTTTAATTATATGCAAATATTATTGAATCAAATTAATTATTTTTGTAAATAATAACTTATTTTTGGAAAAAACTGATTTTAATAAAAAAAAAAAGGTTATGTGATTGCAAAATAAAAAAATGATAAAAACTTAATTTAAATAAAGTAATTAAAATAAAAACTTTTTCAAATTTTATTAATTGATAAATTTCATTAATTTCTAATTAATTAATTACTTTAGTATCATTCATTTTCTCTTACTTTGCAACTCTTTATACTTCACTTTCTCCTACCCATAATATTACCTAATATATTATAAATAAGGTAAGTACTGTTTGCAACTTACATGCATGCAAGCATGAATTTTGATTTTATTAAATATTTAATTTAAATTTGCTAACTTATATTCATTATGTATTTATACTAAAATTTACTTTTTAGATCCTAATATTAACAACAAAAAAGTGGCAATATTTAAAATTTCAATAATATTACTAAAAATGAAAGAAATAAATAATTTTACTTTTCCTATCAAAGTTTTTTTCTATTTTAAATTTTAATTTGAAAAAAAAGGAAAACTTTTGAAAGAGATTTATAAAAATTGAAAACAATTTTGAGCATTTAATATTTCTTTTATTTTTATTTTTCATTCCCTATTTTAATTAATTTTTTTTTTTGATTAACAAAATAAATGATAAATTCTGAATGGATCTCTTTCTTTCTTTCTTTTTTCTTATTAGCTTTTTCCATTAGCTTAAAAGCTTTATAGGATTACTTTTCATATCAATTAAATTAGAATGTAATTTTATACATATAAAAAAAAACGAAATTGTTGTTTTTTTTTTTCTTAAAATCAAAAAAGCATTTCTTTTTTTCATTATTTCTGTTTTTTTTGAAAACAAAATTTTTTTTTTTTGGTAATATAATCTAAAAGTAAAAAAAAATAAAGCAAAAAAAAAATTTTTAACAAACTTTATAAAAAAAAAAATATCAATTATTTAGCAAAACCATGGTGACAGTTGTAATTAATTCAAAATTTCAGTCTTTTAATTCTTATCATTTTTCCAATCTTTATTTTATCACTCTCACTCATCACTAATTGTATATTAAAATTTTATCATTTATAACAAATTAGTTTCAAAATGCTATAAATTGAAATAAATTTGATTTCATTTAATAAATTCCAATAAATATGTTTATGTTTTTTTTTTTTTGATTTTAATTTAATAAATTATTTAAAAAAAAAATTTTTTTTAATACATTAAAATGTATTCAAGCATAAATATTTTAACATATAATTATATGGCTTTTATGCATTTCATTTAAATTAATAAACAATTTAAAATAATATAAGGAATTTGTTTATTACTTTAAATATTCAAACGGTAGAATATGTAATATTGTGTAAACCTGTAATTACTTATAGGGATGTTACTTGTATTGCTTATATGTTCGTTCTTTAAAAAAACAAGAAAAGTAATAGTAAAGAAATTAATTTATTACTTTAAGTATTCAAATGATAGAGTATATATTATTATGTAAACCTGTAATTAGTTATGGGTATGTTACCTGTAGTTACTTATAGGTATGTTACCTGATTGCTTATATGTACGTTTTTTTTTTTTTTTTTTTTTTTTTTTTGGAAATAAAGAAAAGTAATAGTAAAGAAATTAATTTGTTACTTTAAATGCTCAAATGGTAGAATATACACTACTATGTAAACCTTTAATTACTTATGGGTATGTACCTTGGTAACATAATCTAAAAGTGAAAAAGAAAACGAAAGAAAAAATTTTAGCAATTACTTTAGCTATTACCTGTAATTATTTAAAGGTATGTTACCTATATTACTTATATGCATGTTTTTTCCTTAAAAAAAAAAGGAAAAAAAAAAAACGAAAGCGAAAAGTAATAGTAAAGAAATTAAAGTAATGTAAATTTTTTTTTTTTTTTTCTTTACTTTTTCAATAATATCACATCATTTGCTTTTCAAATAATTCATTTTATCCTTCATCAAGGTCAATTTTTCAAAAGATTTGAATGAAATGAATGAATGAATAAATGTCAAATAAAATTCGACGATATTATTTTTCTTTCCTTTTTTTTTTTTTGTCTCTTCTGTCATCTTTTTGTCACTACAAAAATATGTATTTTAGGACAAGGAGGAAAAAAAAAAAAGGTAATCAGGTCAATTTTGTGTCAACTTTCAATTCATACGAAGAATTCATATGAAATAAAAAAAAGAAAAAAACGAATGAATGAATATTTTTATTATAAAAATTTGTTATTTGAATTTTTTTTTTTTTTTTTTTACCACTCATTCAAATAATATTTTGTATGGAAATATTTTCAATGAAATTTTCCTTCTTTTGTTTTTTTCTCTCTCTCCCTCTCTCTCTCCCTGTATTTTTTTTTAATTTTGATAAATTATAAAATTTAGAAAATTCCAATTTATGGTATAACTAAAAGCGCACAAATATGTGTAATTATTTTTATTTGTTGGTCAATTGTTTTCTTCTTATTATTAAATAATTATTAGAAATTTCTTATAATTGTGATTTTAAAAAAAAAAAAAAAAATTTTAAAGCAAAATTTCATTTCACTTTTTTGCAATTATTGTTTTAGATGAAAAAAAAAATTGAAAGTGAAAGATGATATAGATTAATAGCTGACAACAATGATAATAATAATGATAAAAATAATAATAATAAACAAATAATAAAAACAATATAATAACAACAGTGAATAATAATAATGATAACAATAAATGATAACAACAAATAATTACAATAATTCATTGATAAAATTTGATATAATAGTACAAATAATTTATGCTTATCTTATTTAATGAAATTAATCAGTTATTATCATTTTTTTTTATAATTATCATTATCAATTCATGTTTTCCATCAAAAAATAATAAAAATAAAATGTTTCAGATAAATGATAAAGCTTTTAGCTTTAATTAATAACAAAACAAAAACAATAAATGAAAAAAGAGCAATCAAGTGCTTACTTAATTAGCTAATGGCTTATTTACGGCAAAAGCCATTATCACCTGTGTCTTCCTCATCTTATCAATTTTTATCAGTAGACGATCAGATTAGTGATCATATCAGTGTTTCGTCTAATTTTGATGAACCAATCTATTACTATACAATACGTGAAGGAAATATTGAAAATTTGGTAAATTTTGAATTATTTCATTCCTTCAAATTATCCAATAATTCAAATTAAAAGTTTGAAAAAAAAAAAGAAACACAAAAAATTTTAAAACAAAAATTTTTAATGTAATTTTGTACAACAAAGAAATAAAAAAGGAAAAAATGAAAGTTAAATTCATTTATGTTATTTAATTTAATTTAATCTTTTGTATTTTTGCTTTTACATTTTTTATTTCTAATTTTTATAAATATTGAAAAATTCTTTTTCTTTCTTTTAAAAAAATATTTGAATACTTAATATTTTACTTAAATATATTAATGTGTGTATGTTTTCGTTTTTTTTCATTTAAATTTCTATTTAACATTTAAAATTATTATTTTTTTCAGGTCTTAAAATATATTAGTTTATATTTACATTTTTTTTGTCAATAAATAATTATTAAAATATATTTTGATTATTTCAGCCTATTACTGATAGTGAACAAAACAAACAGTTACAATCATATCAGTCATACAATGATATATCTATGAATCATTATGGGTGATAATAATTACATTTATCAAATTAATCAATTTAAAATAAAATTAAAATGCAAGAAAAAAAGAGAAAATAGGAAAGGGAAATGATTTTGATTACAATTATTATTACTTTTATTCCTTCTATTATGTAATTTATCATTGTTGAAAATTTGAATTTGAATGATTGAAGTAAGTTAGACTGATAAATATGATAAAGTAATACATTGATTATTCATTAATCAATTTATTAATAGATAAGAAATTAAAATTTTCAAAAATTAAAAAAAAATTTTTTTTTTATTCGAGCTCATTTTGTTATCCTTTAACAAAATTCATCTTTCTCTCTCTTTTTTTTTTGATCTATTTTCTTGTTTTATATACTTTTTCATTTTTCAGTTGCAATAATCGTTTAACACGTAACGTGTCAACAGCGTGGATGACATCATCGTCACGTGAATCAGACGCATACCGACCCGATTCAACAATTTATCAAAATTGTTATTGTTGCTGTTGCATTGATCATTCACAAAATCTGATCAGTACATTTCAGTGTCAATCAAATGATGTATGGCAGGTATTTGTAATTTAATTATTTTAATTACTAATTGATAAATGATAAGGTAAGTTAAATTAAAGTTAAAAATAAGTTAAATTTTGAGAAGGAAAGAAAAAATAGATGCGAAATAGGTATGAATGGTAAAGTTGAATTGACACTATTAAATTGAATTGTACTATTAAATTAATTTAAGTGACAGAGAAAAAAAAATGGATTTATTTTAACTTTAATTTATTTCTAACTTTAATTTATTCAATAAATAAAATATAAAATTATATTATTAAATTAATTTAGATAAAATATATGTATAATTTTTTTATAGATTCGAGATTCATACTGTGAGGAAGAAGTGATAATTGTTTTAAGTGATAATGTGGAACGTATTGGTTTCTCTATCAGTAATATCAAACGTTGCGCTACAATTAATTCAATTTCACCTGGTATAAAATAAATTTAAATTTCTTATGTATATTTTACATTTTAATTAATTATTATTGTAAAACGAATGAGAAAAGTTTTTAATTTTAAATTAATGTAAGATAAATTTTATCAGTGATAGTTAAATGCACGCTTTTCATATTAATTTTAATTTTTTTTTTTGTTTTTGGTTAAAATTATTTAACTAAATTAGAAAATTTTGTTTAGGTTAAATTATTTTTTTTTTTTTTTTTGCAAAAATTTATGCGAAAAAAAAATAATAATAATTTTGTCAACAAAAGTTTGTTTATAAGTTTGTTGATAAAATATTCAAATATTTAATTGTTGTAGTATGCAATGCTGGACTTTAGCATAATTTTGATTGAGTTAAGCTAAACATTTAAGCTGAAATTTACAAAAAGAAATCATAATTAACCTTTGAACTTTGCACCCTTGCAATTTTGGATGTTTGAATAAAATTTATTAAGCATTGATCGATAATAATGCGGTGAAAAAATGAGTGAAATAATTAAATATCAAATACATAATTTAAATTTTAACTCATTAACTCATGTTAGCATTCAGTTTTATATGTAAGAAAATAATTTCATTTTATTTAGTTTTTTAAAAAAAAAAGAATAGAAAAACTTATGGTTGTTTACAAAATAGGATTGAATCAAATAATTGAAATTTTTTAATTTAATCTATAATATTTTTTGAGATAAAATTTGAAAAGTTTTTATTTGAAAGTTTTATTGACTGATTATTTTTATTTATGATTTGTAAAATTAAAATCCTTTTTTCAAAACTGATCATTTAATTGATTCGTCAGCAATTCAATTTTACATTTTCTTCTTTTATTATCAAAAAAGCTGTTTGACCTATTTGAAATTATTTATGTGTAAATATAAGACTTAATTATATTTAAAATTAAATTACATAACTCATTTTTATGTTTTCTCATCTATTTTTAGATTTCATTTAAAAAGGGATATTTTCTTTTTTCATTTTTGAATTATTCCAGAATTTCATTTCTATTTTGATCAAAAAAAAAAAAAAATTTCTTTGATAAAAAAAAGTAAACAAACAAGAAAGAATTTGTTGAATTTTTGCTTAATGTAACATTTGCGCTCTAATTTTCAGTCCAAAAAAAGAATAAATATTATTCAATTTAATCATTTCAAAATTAAAAATTGAAAAAAAAATTCACTAATTTCTTAAACGTTTTACAGTTTGTATTGAAATTTTTGAAAAAAAAAAAAAAAAAAATTAAAATAAACGAGAAGTGAGAAGAGAGAAGAATTTTATTTTAAGATTTTAGGTTTATGAATTTTTTAAATTTATTAATTCAATGCTAACAAAATTGTTTAATTATTCTAACATTTAATTTTTTTTTCTTTTTTTGTATATTACTATTCAACTTAATGTGATATACATAAAGGCTTTAAAATAATTTTTTCAAAATTAAAATTTCAGATTATTTACTGAATTTAAAATCTGAAAACTTATGTGACCCAAATGTTTGACCTTAATTATTTTGGCTTTTTTTTTTGATTTTAATTTTTTGAAATTATCAGCAATCTTATAGCATAGCTTTTTGTATATTTCATATGAAGATCAAATTTCTAAAAAAAAAATTTTCTTTCTGATTAAAACAATAATAAGACAATAGCGCATGGCGTTTATTGCTTCCGCAAATGTTATAATTTGAATTTAATGAATAAATACCTAAGAAATTAAAGAGATATTGTTAAAATCAATTTTGAATTTAACAAATAAAATAAAAAAGTAAGAAAAAAATTATATAAAAATAACTTCAACTTATAGCTATTAATTTCTACAGTAAATCAATAAATTGAATTGAAAAATTTAAAACGAAAGTATAATATTTTCTTCAATGTGACTTCAATTTGACTTTTTTTTAACTGTTAAATATTTAAAAGGAAAAAAAAAAAAGAAATCGGAGAGAATAATTATTTTAAAAAATTAAAATGTTCAAAAAAAACAAACAAACAAAAATTGATAAACAAGAAAAAAAAAGGAAGAAAAAATAAATAAACAATTAATTTATTAGAGTGTAAAATAATTGATAAATGATAATAACACTTTAATAATTCTTACATTTTTCATTTCACTTTTTTTTGTTTTCTTTCCTCCAAATATTCATTAATCAAACGTGTAAATGCAAACATACGTATGCGTTTACGTATTTACGTATCTATCGACGTACGTGTACTGTATCATATCAGTGTTATCTATTGATATCATATCAATTGCTCTATTTTTCATATTACAATTAATGAATGATTGCAATTTTAATATACTTCGTCATACATAAATTTCCATTTTAGATTATTTATTTTTCTTGGTGAACTATCAGAGTTCAAAGTTCAACAGCAATATTGTGATTAACCTCTAACCTATGACCCTTCATTTAACCCTATAACCTTTCTCATCTTTTAATACTTTAAAGTGATAATAGTACCTACAATAATAGCAATGGTGGTAATAAATCAGCAAATGTAAACAATTCGCATATTCATTAATACACATGCATACATGCACCCATACACACACACACACACACACATACACATGTGTACATATAGATTTGTATACACACACATACAAACATACACATAGCATACATGCATACACATGAACACATACAATCATACGCATATAGATTTGGATAAACACATACACATACAACACATACAAACATACACACATATACATATACGCATACATACATATACATATACGTATATATAGATTTGTACAAACACACATACACAGACACACACACACATACATACACATACATATTTAAAAAGAAATAAACAATGAGATATGCAGCTATCCTTTTAGTTTTCCAAATTCCATTATTTCACCAAAACTTTTGTCCCATTGGGAGGACATAAGAGCACACAGGCGGAAAGTTTGCAAATAAATATTTGATATGAACAGACAGACAGACACACACACACATACATACACATACACATACACACACACATACATAACATTTAACTCTGTGCTTCCTTTTTTCTTCTGAACTTTTTGTTTTTTTATTTAACTAATCCACAGAGAAATTTTAGCAATCATTTCATTTGATCATTAAAATGATTAGAAATTGATTGCTTTCAATTAATTAACTGTTAATCTTTTTAGCTTATCAAATTAATTATCAGTACTTTATCTCTAACTTATCAATATTAATTAACACTAATCATTTTAGATTTCTGCCACAAATTATCAATAATTTTAATGCATTCATTTCATTCATTTAAATATGATAATAATGCGATTCTTTAGTGCATTCATATTTTGATGTGATAAAATGATAGCATAAATGATTGATTAATTAATTACTGATAAAATATTCGTGTAATTTCAGTCTATAATTGATATCATATTGAATAACAGGAATTAGGTCTGATAAAAGATGATAAAGTTAACTGATAAGAAGTGTTTAGCTTATAATGTCTACTCTTTCATGATTAGTTTAAAAGAGAATTGATTTTTCTTTTTTTTTTTTTTTGGTAGAGTTGATAATTTTCAAGAATTATAAAAAATTTCACTCAAATATTTTTTGCCAAGATTGGATAAGAAAAATAGTCTTCAATAATTTACTTTAAATTATATACATGTGTTTTTTTTTTTAATATTAGTAAAGTTATTTCAATTTGTTTTCAATCTTCAATTTCTCCACTATTTTATGATTGCTTTTTTTTTATTAATGATTAATTAATTAATTATGATTATTAATGATTAATTATGACTATTTAATCATTAGATTCAGAAAAAATTATATGAATTAAATTTATAAATAAGTAAAATTAGATATTTTAGTTTTTTTCATTATATATTCATAGCTATTCAGGAATTAACTTCATTTCGGGAATTAATCTCATTTTATATCATTGAACTTTACCTTTTTTTTCGATTGTACTAAATTAATAATTTGAAATTTAGAAGAAAAAAATCTAAAATAACTAAAATATTATGCATTATTACCTAATTTTTTTATTTACCAAATATTATTTGCCAATTGGTAACAATTTTATGATACTTTTTAATATTATTTGCTTTGAAATTTCATATTTGCATACTAATTTATTAGTAATAAAATATTTGAAATTAATATTAAAAAAAAAAATAAATTTTTTCAAATCTCTTTTTCAAATTATAAATTAATCGTTCCATTTGTTAGTCAATTTACAGTGATGGCAAAATGAATATTTGTTTATTTGTCATTTTAAGAAATTATTTAAGTGGAAATTTATTATTATCGATTCATTCACTAATTTATTTATTTTTTCTCCTTTTTTTTTGCTTTTTTTTTATTGATAAATCATTTATTATGCAATTGCATTTTCATTGCAAAATAAAAGAATGAATGTAAATCAAAAAAAAGAAAAAGAAAATTATTTGTGAACATTTAAAAGTTAAGCTAAAATAATTTTCATATATTCTTTCTTACTCTTATTATTACTTCTACTAAAAAAAAAAGTGAAAAAACTTTCAATAAAAAAAAAAAACAAGCAAAGTTAAAAATTTTTTAAAGTAAAGCTAAAAATAAAAAAAAAAACTCTTTCTTATATTATTATCTTTACTATTTCTGAAAACCGTTAACATTAACAGTTTTCATTATTATCATATTACTATCATTATTACTACCATTATTATTATTAATACTATTACTATTAATATTATTTTAATAAAGTCAGATAGATAAATCATAGTTAAATTAAATCATCATCTAGTCACCGAAATAATAAATAGAGCTTATTTAATTTTTAATAAATAGAGCTTATTTAATAATTTTATTATTATTAATTCTTTATTATTATTAATTCTTATTATTATTAAATTCTTATGGTTATTATTATTTTGTTAATCATTATAATAATTAGTGTTATTGTCGTTGTTATTGTTGTTGTCATAGCACTTACTTACTGTTATTGTTATTGTTGTCATTATTATTGTTATTAATATTATTGCAATTATTACTTCTATTATCATAACACATGCGAACAAAATGAAATATTAACCAATTATATAAATTTTATTAAGGAATAAAAGAAATATAACAACGAAAGCTATTATTGGTAAATATTTTCATTTATGCAAAATTAGCAATGCAATTTTATTTAGCATTCCATTAAGTATCATTAAAACTTGAATTCATTCAAAGTGCTTTTACTACTTTTATTAGTACTATTACTTATTTATTACTATTACTTCCAGTTTTGCATTATTGTGTCACAGTTACTATAAATATTATTTATTGTCACAATTACTGCTAATATTGAAAACATAAATATTTTGCATTTCTTAAAAAATATTCATTATCATTAATTGATTAGAAAATTGGATCTTTTTTCGAAATAATCATTCATACACAATATAATATTACTATTATTATTATTATTATTATTATTATTATTATATATTATTATTAATATTACTATTACTAATTTTATTATCAAACTCTTTAAATATAATTTTCCAAAATTCTGAAATGTTATCATGACTGATTATTATTATTGCTATTATTACTATTATTTTGTCATGACTATTATTGTTAATTACTATTATTATTATTTAGAATTTTAATGAGAATTTTGTTGTTGCATTCCGAAACAATTACTATAGCAATTAATTTATCATTATTATTACCAAACACTTCAAAAATAAATTTTTAAAATTCTAAAATGTTATTATAGTTATTATTATTATTTAAAATTTTAATATCAATTTTATTATTGTATTCTCCTAATAATTACTACAACAATTAATTCATTGCTATCATTGAACAAAAAAAGTGTGATAATATCGTCTTTTCCTTATCACTGCAATTTTCTAATATTTCATTTACATCAAACAAAAATTAATTAACCTAATTAAATCAATTTTAAACAATGTACAGATGAAATGCCAACAAATCACGATGCCAGGATATGTCATTTTTATTGCAATTATACGGCGGAAAAATCGAATCATCGTTTTCGGTTTGTATCTTTCAGCGATTTAAAAAAAAAAAAAAAAAATGATTTGCAAAACGTGTAGAAACACGTGTGGAAATATATCAAGACGTGAAAATTACGTGGACTTCTTCAATCCTACTGATATAATACAATATCACTTAACTAACACTCCACATCATGTTGTATTCTAATTTTTATTTGCTTCTTAATTAATTAATTGCTTTTTTTTTTTGTGATTATAAAGTTAACAACGTGTGTGACGTAAAAATTGTGTGAACAATTTATATTTCAGGTTTCGTTTTTTTCTTTCACATTTTTTTTTCAAGAGAAAAAGAAAAAAAAAACTTTAAAATATCCAATTTTTAATTTTTGAAATAAAATTTTCTCAGCAAATTTTAAAAAGAATATAAAAAGCGAAAAACAAAAATAATTAAGAAAATTTAATTCCTTATGACTTTTTCTTTTTAATTTTGAAATGATAATTTTAATTAAATTTGCATATAATATGGGTAAATTAACCGACAAATATTATTTTTGTGTAAATAAACCGGCTAATATTATTTTTTTTATTTACTAAATAAATCTAGCATTTTTTCTAAAAATTTTATTATCAATAAATAATTTTTTTATTATTTATTTGATTTTTCATTCGTCTTTTTTATCTTTACTATTAAATTATTAAATTGTTATTATTTCTTTTTTCATTTGTGAAATATTCGTTTTTATATAGATTAAAAAAAAAAAATTATTTAAAAAAAAAGAAAAAAATAGTTTCATTCATTTATTTTTTACATTTTTTTTGAAACATTCCATGTCAAAATTCATTTTACAATTGAAATATTTACATTGATGATTCATTTGTACAATAATTTATTAAAAAAAATTTTTTTTTCTTTTTTTTTTTGAAAATAAAGCGATAATGGTTGGATTATTTAATTGTTTACATGTTGAAACTTGCAATTATTATATAATTTGATGGTTTATAAATTTTAACATTGGCATTTTTTTTTTTTTGAAATCAATAAATTTAAAATTAAAATTTGAAAAATTTTTCATTCAAAAACATACAAAGAATTGTAATTTTTTTCTGTTTTTTTTTTGATAACTAACAATTTTATAAATAAAAAATGATTTTAAATTTAAAATTGAAATAATTTCAGGAAGTCCAGCAAATAAAGCAGGTCTTCAAATTGGTGATCGTATCATTGAAATAAATGGTTACACAACTGAGGGAAAAAATTATGCATACATTATTGAACTTATCAATCAGGTATGTTAATTAAATTTTTCAAACTTCAAAATAATCTTTTTTTTTTAATATTTTTATAAAAAACCTTTTTTTTTCACTTTTAGTTTATTTATAAATTATATTTCAGTTTCTCTATTTAAATTTTTTTTTTAATTTTAAAATTAAAAATATTTCATTTGTTATAATTATTTCGAATGGAAAACTAATTTAGATTGTTACAACCAGTAATGAAAAGGAAAAAGTGTAAAAATGTAAAAAAGAATTAATTGGATAAATTCAAATGTGATAAAAAATTAATTAATTAATTGATTAGCTGCAAGCTGATAATTGATAATTATACCTATCTTATCTTGTCATCAATTTATTATATAATAAAAGAAAAAAAAAGATTTCACAGATATTATTAAATTAAAATGTAAAAAATTGTGAAAATTTTTTTAAAAAAAAAAAGAAAAGAAAAACAAAAACGAAATTTTGAATAAAATAATTTCACATATTTTTTTTTTTATTATTATTAATTTATAAGAAATGATTAAATTTAGTTGAAATAAATCGATTCTGATACTATGTAATTTGATACGACGCGACACATTGAATTCGATATAATCAGTTATAGTACAAAATAATTACCTGAGTATTACCTGAATATTACCCGAATATTACCCGAATATAGCATATAGTGAAACTACTACTCATAATCCTTTCCATTTTATGAAAGGTCATATCATATCATCCCCTTTTTCATTTATTCAATTTGTTTACATTCATTTCTTGCCTGCAAACTATTTATCCATTAATCTATACAATTTACTACCCTTATTTTGTAAGTATAAAAGTTTAGAATTTATAAGTAAATGTTTGCAATAAGTATAAAGTATAAAAGTTATAAATAAAAGTTTACAGTAAGTATAAAATCATAAAATGCACAAATAAAAGTTGGTGAGTATAAAAGTATAAAGTTTTTAAGTAAAAGTTTGCAATGAGTATAAAATTATAAAATTTGTAAGTGAAATTTATAAGTAAAGGTAAAGTTTTAAGTGAAATGAGTATATAATCAAAATTTGTAAGTAACATTTAGTGAGTATAAAATTAAAGTTTTTAAGTAAAAGTTTGCAATGAGTATAAAATCAAAATTTGCAAGTAAAAGTAAGTGAGTATAAAAAAATAGAGTTTATGAGTAAAGTTTGCAATAAGTATAAATGTAAAGTTTATAAATAAAAGTTTGCATTGAGTATAAAATCATAAAATTTATAAGTAAAAGTAAAAGTTTATAATAATTATAAATTTATGAAAATTATAGGTAAAAGTTTGTAAGAGTATAAAGTTCATAAGTAAAAGTTTAAATTGCATTGATGATTAGTAATTTTATTAATTTGTATTTGTCATATTCAATTACCATTTGTTGACAAACAATTTGTTTACAAATATTAATTACCAATATGTTTTGTATGATTATTCTATACCAGAAATATTGTTAACTTTGTCATATTTACATTTAATTGTTGCATCCCATTCATTTTCATTTTTAATATTTAATATTTTTTTTTTTAATTATAAATGTTTTCCTAATCAAATATTACGCAGAAATTAATTTCGTTGTAAAAGAAATTAATTTTATTATACAAACATTAATTTCATTATTGAAATACAAAAATAAATATTCAAAAGTTAATTTTATTATAACAAATAAAATATTATTCAAAAGTTAATTAAAGGAAAACAAATTTCATTATAAAAAAAATGGAGAAAATCAAATCAAATATTATTCAAAAAATTAATTTCATCTTAAAAAAAAATCAAAAAGTAGAAAGAGAGAGAGGGAGAGAGAGAAAGAGAAAAAAAGTGTAAATGAATAAATGAATAACATTATTTGGCCAAAGAATTTTTTAAAAAAAAATGAAAAATAATCAATTATCGATTAAATTAAAAAAAAAATTTTTTAAATATTTTAACAATATATTAACAATAATTATTTTCGCCAATATATTTTTTTATATCATTTCATTCTATTAATTATATGTTTTTATGATTTTTAATTTTTTATTTTTTATTTAAATATCATTTTTCTCTTTTTTTTTCTATCTAAAATACAATAAATTATTAATTTATTGTAAAATTTTGCTGCATTTTTTTTTTTTTTTGCTTTTCTTTTTGTTACTAATTTTTTTCTCTTTTTTAGAGCGTTTTCAATTATCACTGAAAAAACTAATTTTAAAAAAAATGAAATAAAAGTTTGAAATGAATATTTATTTCCTTTTTGTTTTTGTTTTCAACTTAATTATAACGAATTTTTCGCTTTCTTTTCTTTTTATTAAAATATAACTTATTAAATAAAAAAAAATTTGCATGCATAATTTAAATTACTTTTAAAAAAATTAAATTGAAATATTAATAGATGTGATAAAGTGAGAAAAAAATGGAAATAAGAGAGAGAGAGAGAGGAAGAGAAATTGTCAAAAATGAATTTTTCTATCATAAAAAAAAAATAAATTATTTTTTTAAAAATAATTTCTTGAAAAAAAAAATAATAATCTCTTTAAAAAGTTTTAAAAATAATTTAATTTTTCTCGATCACCTATTTATTCCCTAATTTAGCGAACTGCTCAATGTATTCATTAAAGATTTACAAAATATTTTTAAATTGAACTGCTAAAAACAAACAAACAAACAAACAAGCAAATTAACAAAAAACAAATCTTTGAGATTATTAATTAAAAGGTAACACTTTTTCAATTAATTAATTGATAAATAAATTATTCATTGTTAATACAATCTTTTCAATAAAAAAAAAAGATTTGAATTATTTATTTTTATTCGTTAAAGTTATATAACACTGCATAATTTTAATTTTTCAGTTGTTTATTTGTTTGTTTGTTTGTTTTTGTTTTCTTCTTTTTCATTCAATAATTTCATCTTGTAATCATTTTTGTTTATATATATATAATTTACTTCTTTTCTTTTTCATTCATTTATTTCCTTACCTTTCCTTAATGGATCAATCATTTATTGATTTAAAATCATAGCATCAATAGATCAATCATTTATTGATTTAAAATCATAGCATCAATAGATCAATCATTTATTGCTTTCAAATCATAATATTTCCTTGCAATAAACTAATTTATTGTAAAAAAATATAAACATACGATGGCTTATTTATTATACGTTACAATTTAATATTTCACGTAAGTAATTTGTAGTATTTGACGTATTTTTATAGACAAAAACGTTATGAATAGCAATTATAACTTTAATTAATTACATTAATAACAATAAACGTTTTTATTTCAAATTAAAAAAAAAAAATTTATTCAACTATTAAATAAATTTTAATTATTTTACTAAGAAATTTCATTTCCTATAATTTTGATGTCACTAACACGCGTGGAACTTTCAACAGCACTGGAAATTCAAGTACCATTAGCGATTAATGCAGACGAAATTAGATGTAGCAGTGATATGCATGAGAATGAGTCATGCACCTGTAATTTAATTCAAAATGAGATAGTACTCTTCAATGAATTTAATGGTACTAAGGTAAATTATCATTTAATCTTATCTTTTTTGTTTAAATTTTAATTCTATAACACTAATTTTGATTTAATAAACGAAATTCATTTCCGAAGAAGGAAATGTTTAAATTTTAATTCTTTTCTTTTCAATTTTTTAATTATTTTTTGAATTTCTTTTTTTCTCATCAATTAAATAGGCAATGTACCTTTAAATTAATTCAAAATGAGGTATTACTGTTTAATGAATATAATAGTATTAAGGTAATTTATAATTTAATTTTACTTTTTCCCTTCGCTTTTTTTTTAAATTTCGATTCTGTAACATTAATATTAATTTAATAAAGCAATTCATTTTTAAGAAAAAAAATGTTTAAATTTTGCTTTTTTTTTTGTATGTCTAATTTTTTTTTTTAAATTTCGTTTTTTGTATATCCAATTTGTATAAAAATATTATTAAAATTTGTAATACTCTATATATGCAACAAAAATTTTAATATTATATTATTTCTTCATATTTTAAATAATTCTTTAAAAAAATTTTGAGCAGTTTTTTTTTTCTTTTTTTTTTAGTAATAATAAAAAAATCTTTAGTTTTTTTAAAATTGATTTTGTTTTTTTTTTTTTTTTTTTTTTTTTTTGTTGTTGGGTTTGATAAATTCAAAAAGAAGCATAATTTATGAGAAGAGATTATTTTTATTAGACAATTATTAAATAATCCCTTTTTCAATTTTCATTATTTGTTTACTTTTATTTATTTATTTTTTTTTTTTGTCTTTGACAAGACTATTTTACAAATTTGGCTCTTTTTCTTTTTTCTTTTTTTTTTTTTTTGCTTAAATAATTTTAATAATAAAAACTTTTTAACATTTAAAATATTTTACTTCACATATCACTGCAACACAATTATCTGTTAATTAAATTACAAAAAATTTCTAATTTCTGTAATTTAATTAATCAATTCTACTTCTTCCAACAATTCATTTTATTTTTATTTTTAATCCTTCAATTCAATTTTCATAAATTTATTTTTTGTTTACTTTTTTAATTTCTATCAAATTATTTATTTCTAATATTAATCTAACAAATTATAGACCTAATATTAATTTCACTTAAAAATATCAATCTTTTATGAAAAATTATATTTCCGATAACTTTTGCAAAAAGCAAAAAAAATTTTTTAATTTTTCAAAATTAAATTAATTCAAAATTATAGTGTGTGAAATTTCATTAAAATGCTTTCTGCAATTTAAAAAGAAAAACGTTCTTTTAATGATATATTTTTTCTCCAAGGTCATTTTTAGAGTGCGAAAAGCTTGCGGCGTTTTTTTTCCTTTTTTTTAAAAAAAAAAATTAAATTGTTCCATTGATAGTTTTTCATGCTTTTTCGATCTTTTCTCTTTAAATTTATTTATTTTTTTTTTTTGTAAAATAAAATTTAATAGAATAGAAATTATTAATTCTTGTTTACATCTTAAATCAACAATATTTATTTGCATTTCTTTTCTTTCTTTTTTTTTAAAAAAAAAAGAAAGAATTTAAATTTGTTTTTTGTTGTTGTTGTTGTTTGTTTGTTTGTTCCTTAAATGTATTTCTTTAAATGTTTGAAAAGAATTTTTTTTTTTAAAAAAAAAGAAACACAAAAATTTCTTTTAAAATTTAAGATTTTTCGAATCCTTTCTCGTGTTTAAAACGAAAAAAATTTCTTTTTTTTGAAAAAAAGAAAACAAATGTAAATTTTGTTTAAAATTTTAAATTTGCATTTTTCTTTTCCCTTTTTTCTTAAATTTAAAATCAATGTTTCTTCATTCTTACAAATTGATTTTGGGCCAAAATTTGCTTTCATTATTTTGCATTAAAATTTATTAATTGAACTGTGTGTGTGTAATGTTTCTAAACAATTTAAAAAAAAAAAAAACATAGATAATTTGAAATTAAATATATTTTTAAGAATTATAGATGAACCTAACTAAGAAATAAAATTTCAATTTATGAATTTTTATAAGGAATCAAATTTATTCATCTTTCTCTTTCATTTTCATATTAATTATATTGTAATTTGATTAAAATTATTCCATTATATTATTTGTAATAAAAAATTATTGCGAATTTCAAAAAGAATTCATTAAAATTTGTATTGCATTGTTAAATATTTTTGAAATTAACTCGCATTATCATAATTTCACAAAATTCTTTTCATTGAAATTTTTGTAAAATGCCAAATAGATTATTGTAAAATTTTGATAAATTAAAAAAAAAAAATAATTTCCATTTTTGATAATTTTATTTTTATTTCATTCATTTGTTAGATAATTCAATTTTAATTATTTTCATTATTAACATTATTTCTTCCTTCTTGTAATTTAATTTCTTTTTTATCACAAAATTATTTTATTTTTACTTTCAATAATTTGTGAAAATTATTGAAATTAAATTTATCAAATTTAAAAAAAAAATAAAAATTTCATTCAAATTGATTACATATTGTAAGCTTTATTTTAAAATGAATTAATCATTTAAATCATTTCGAGCATTAATTTATTCTATTACATAACAATTTCTGGCATTCATTTTATGCTACAAAATTGACATTTTTGTTTATTCTTTTTTTTTTTTTCAAGATGAATTTTGAAAATAGCATTATAAAATAAAAATGCTTTTTTATTTGAAATATTATTGCTAATTAAATTTTAAAATGTTTATACAAAATTAGGACAAAAAAAAAAGAACCAATTAAATGCTATGATTAAAATTTCATACAAATTTAATTTTTTTACAGTGTATCAAATCACGTGTAATTCAATTACGTGTTCGACGCAAACAAGAAGATTCGAATGAAGGTAAAAAGCTAAATTTTGCAAAGCAAAACAAAAAAACAAATTTCAAACTCAAAAGCTATCAAGAAAAATTAGTTACGTTTAATTAATTAAAAAAAATTATATAAATAAAAGTTTTTAATTTATTCATTTCCTATTGCTATAAGAATAATACTCAAAAATTGTTATATTTAAATTTAAAATTGCACACTGATATATTTAAATTTAAAATCGCACATTGATATATTTAAGTTTAAAATTGTAAATTGACATTGTTATATTAAATCACATTAATATATTAAAATTTAATTGAAATTATTTTTTTTTATTTAATATATTTGTGTATAATTAATTACATATATTTAATATAATTGATCTTAAAATTTTGATGACTTTACTTTTTTTTTTTTTGCTAATTAAAAAGAAGAAAGAAAATGAGAATTCTTTTTATCAAATTTTGCTCTTCTCGAAAACTTTTACTGCATATTTCTTTTCGGCTGCCTATTTCCTAAATTAATCATTCAAATTTTTTTTTTTAATTTTTTATTTTTCTGTTTGTTCTTTTAGATTCAAAAAAAAAAGTTTAAAAAAAGTAGAAGAAAAATGTGAATTTTTCTTTAAATACTTGGAATTTTTATTTCTTTATAAATAAAAAGTAAACAAAAAAAAAAAAAAAAAAATGATAGAATCAAAAACTAAATAAACTTAATTTTATAAATTGTGTAAACAAAAAAAAATTTTTTTTTCAAAATTAGTTAGAATTTAAAAAAAAAAATGAATGTATTATTTTATTAAATTAACAAAAATTAGCTATTGTATATATATATATATTATTTATTCTTTATCATTTCAATTATTAATTGCTAACTTTTTTTCAAAAAAATTCAACTAAATTAGGTTTATTCTTTTAACTATTAATCATTAATAGATTTTAATTGTATTTTTTAAAAAAAAAAACATAATTAAATATTCTTATATAATAAAAAGTATTCTTAGATAATAAATCAAATTTATACAATAATTTAAAAATTTGAAATAAAATTATTAAAAAAAAAAAAAAAAAAAAAAGAAAGAAAAATAATAAATGAATTATTAGTATTTTAAAATTGATATTATAATTTGATGATTGTTGCGATATTCAATCCTTTCATTTTATTCCCTAAAATTAAAAAAAAAAAAAAAAAACTAGTTATTATCACAGATAGGTATCATCGAAAATTGTCAACCTATGTCCCCTTTTTTTTTTTATTATTGATACCTTTCTTCCTTTTCTCATCTTTTACGCTCATCGTTATTTCATATTTATCAGCGCAATTCAACATTTCAATATTATAGTAAATAAATTCTATTTTACTTTTCTTTTCTTTTTAAAGTAGAACAAAAATCTTTAAATAATTATGTATAATTAATTTAAACAAATTTGAATAATTTAAGTAATTGCATTTCCTATTTAATAGTTATTATTATTACATTAAAAGTACTTTATTTATTATATAAAATATATAAGTTAAAAGATCACATAATTTTTTTTTTTTTTTTTTTTAAGTAGAACAAAAATTTTTAAGCAATTATATATAAATAATTTAAACAAATTTAAATAATCTAAGTGATTTTATTTTCAATTCAATATTTATTATTATTATTACTTCTGCATAAATTGTGTAAGTATTAATTTAAAAAATACGTAATATCTTTGCAAGTCGAACAAAAACTTTTAATTAATTATATATAAATAATTTAAACAAATTTAAATAATCTAAGTAATTTTATTTTCTATTAAATATTTATTATTATTACTTTTGCATGAATTATATAAGTACTTTATTTATTATATAAAGTATATCAGTTAAAAGATTACATAATTTCTTTGTAATTCGAACAAAAATTTTTTATTAATTACATATAAATAACTTAAATAAATTTAAATTATTAAAGTAATTGCATTTTCTATTAAATGTTTACTTTTGCATAGATTATATGAATATTCGTTAAAAGATTACATAAAATGTTCACTTCAAATTTTAATCCTTTGTTTGTTTGCTTTTTTTTTTTCTTTTTGATAATAATTATTAAATTAAAAAAAAAAATGAAAACTTCGGTAATATTTGATCTTCAAAAAATCAAAATTTTAATATCTAATGCATTTAATTATTTTGCTAAATAAAATAAAGTATAAATAATTTCAGTTACATTTAAAAAAAAAGTATTAAAGTGAATAATTGTTTAGAAAAGGATCAAATTAACAAAATGTTAATTTAATTAATTTATTAATTACTAATTTCATTTAAATATATTACAGAGAATTCATTAATTAATTCAAAAATTGCAATTTCGGACGCTTTTCTTGCGTCAACCGATAAACAACAAACAAATGCAATTACTGATACACTAAAAAGGTTTTCAATTTTAATTTTTTTTTATTATTTAATTCTTTTTTTTTCTTTGTTTCTTTTTATTTCTAAAATATAATTTCATTTAAAGTTTTTTATTAAAAAAAAAAGAAAAAAATAATTGATAAAATATGCAGTATTGAAGAATTGTTGGTATAATTATTGAAATAAAATGTCATATTTAAATTTACAAATTTTTGGCGCTCCTTTTTTTTTTTTCTTTAATGCTAATAAAAGATCGTTAAAATTTATGATATTTTTAAATTTATTGAAAAAAAAAGAAGGAAAGAATCGTTTATGTTTATATTATCATTCATTTTTCTTTCTTTTCTTTTAATTAATTCTTTTATTCTTCATTTTATACTTTTAAATTTTAATGAGAAAAATTTTGATGAATTATTGAAATTTGAAATGTTGTTCAAATCATATTATTATCATCAACAAAGTTATACATAATTTAATTTTGGTTATTGATTAACTTTTATTATATATATTGATTGATTGAATATCAATAAATTGATTAACTTTTAGTAACAGTGCATATTTTACTAATAATTCAACTAATTAATTCCTACTATATTAATTATCTCGACATTTGTAACATTACAATGATAAAATTTAATAAAATAATTGATTTGATAAAAAATTAATTTGAAAATTTATAAAACTAAAACAAGTATGTTTATCCATTTTTTATCAATTCTTATCAGTTCAATCAATTTTTTATGTATAATTTATAACCGTTTCAATAATGACATCAACAAATATTTGATAAAATTCCAAAATTTTCTTCGTCATCAAAGTTAATGCAGTGATCATTGTAACAATAATAGTAATAATAAAGTTGTAACAATAGTAATAACAATTAATAATAGTGATAATGGTATTAATCACAGTGATAACAGTGATAATAATAATAGAAATAATACACATTAAATAATAACAGTAATTAAATGATAATACTACCACTGAAACAAGCATGTTTTCCTAATAATTCAATTAATTATTATTAATACTAGTATCACTATTTTATTAATTTTTTTTTTAAATTTTTCTTGTATGCTAATAATAATATTGATAATTACTAATAATAATAATAACGATAATAATAATATTAATAAAAAAATAATAATGACTAATAATTAACAATGAATAATATTGGTCATAGTAACAACAATAGTGATAATAATAATAAATAATAAGCAGTGAAAATAATAATAATGAATAACAAATATTATTGATCATAGTAATAGCAATAATAATAATAATAATGTCAACTTTTATATAATATCACATAACTGACAGTGTTAGTTGATAACTAGTGATATCATAGTGATAATATTGCATATAACAGTGATAATATATGATAGTGATAATACCTTATGTATAACAGCGATAATATATATAATATTGATAACATCTTACATATTATATAATATTATCTGATTTTCAAAATGATTTTTATTTTTTTTTTTAAAATTTTTCATTTTACTTTTTATCATTCTAAATTTTTTGTCGTATAAATTTAATTTTACGATACATTCGACTCGTCGTAAAATTCCTCAATCATTCATTTTATCAGGAATTACCCAGGAATTCACATTTATGATATGGAAATGTTGGCCGATGGTTCATTGAAAACAGATTCAGAAACAAATGCACAAAATGATGTAAAAATTTTAACTTTAATTTTTTCTCTTTTGTTTTTTCAATTTTTTTTTTTTTTTGCTTTTCATATTTTCATATAAATTTTGAATTTGAATTTATTTTGATTACTTTTAGATAATCAAGTCAAATTATAAAAAAAAATTTGCATTTGAATGTTATAATGGAAAAATTAAAATGTATTATTTGAAAAATGATAATAAGTTAAGATTTAAAAAAAATAATACATCTCTCTCTCCCTCTCTCTCTCTCTCTCTCTCTCTCTCTCTGTATTTCCTTTATGTGAATTTTTGAATGTATTAATGAATATTATTTCAAACAATAATATGATATGCAAAGATTACTTACTTTGATTAGGATACTTCTTACTTTATCACAGATTTCAATATAATATCCATTTCAAAGTTTACTTTTAAAATTTTTAATAATTTATGAATTTTTTTTCCTTTTTAAACTACCTAATATCATATTGCTTACTGGCTATCATAACTTTTAAACATTACTTTAGTAATTTTATTAATCATTAAGAAATATATACTGGAAATGGATTTTAGTTAAAAATAAAATTTTCATCTTATTATTTTATCATTTTTTTTTTTTTTTGCTTGATAAGACATTCATTTAATTAGTAAGTTAAAATTTTTGATTTTAAATAATTTCACTTTTTTTTTTCAATTATTTTTTTTTTGTTTTTTCAGTTTGGAAATGATCAAATATGGGATCGAATATCAAATAGTACCGTAAATGATGATAACGTTAACGTAACCACGTGTACTGCAAATAAGGATGAGAATGAACGATTAAAAAGTTACGAGAGTGAATTACGTAAACGACGTGAACTTAATGAATATCGAGAAAAAGAAAATACATTTCTTAGGTTTTTTTTCGAAATTGTATTTTTTTTATTTTCAATTTATTATCGATTAGCTTAATTATTCTTTTTTTTTTTTGCCCTAATCTACGATATGAGATTTTAGTATATGCCATTTTGCTACCCATTCAATTAAGAGAATAAATCTGTTATCTTTGGTTGATTTTTCTCCCAATTTATAAATTTCTTAATTACAATAAAAATTAATAATAAATAATATTAATATAATAAGTAGTTAAAAATAAATAATAATAAAATCCATAATACATACATAAATTGGAAAGCTAATAATTAAACACGTATTAAAATAAATAAAAAAAATAATAATAAAATCCAGACTACATCAATTTATCAATTTGAAAAGCTAATAATTAAATAAGTAATAAATAAATGATAAAATAAATAAATTATAAATAATAATCATAAAATCCATAATACAGACATCAATTCGTAAAGCTAATAATTAAATAAATAATAAATGAATATTAAAATAAATAATAAATAATAATAAAATTCATAACATATACACCGATTTGCAAAGCTAATAATTAAATAAATAACAAATAACAATAATAAAATCCATAATATATACAACAATTTGGAAAGCTAATAATTAAATAAATAATAAACAATAGAATAAATAAATAATAAATAATAATAACAAAATCCATAATATATACATCAATTTGCAAAGCTAACAGAAAATGGCGGGGAAAAATGAATGACAAAAACAGGTGGGAAATGGCGGGTAAAAGTATGGGATGGGAAAAGGTAAAGCGGGAAAGTGCTGAATGGTAATTCTTATGAAATGTTCAATTATTTGCTTTTCAGGGAATCATTGCGAGATTCTAAAAAATTATTATCACTTGAAAAGAATAAAACTGTCGAGAAGAAAGAAACAAAAGAAGGAATAGAATTAACTAATGGTACTCAATCAAATGGTACCATAACTGAAATTTGTTATGCTAATAATGCATATATAGCTGGTGATACATTTGATAATAATGAGTCAATTCGTAAGTGTAAACAATTTTTTAATTTTAATTTTTTATATTTAATTTTACTCATAAACAATTTTCTTTTTATTTTTGCTAAAAAAAAAAAAAGTAAACAAGAACTTTAATTATGTGAAAATAATTTATATATATATATAAATGTTACCAATTATTTCATTTTATTTTAAATTATTATAATTTTTTTTTTTTTTTTTTTTTAGCACTTGAACAAGTAATGTTATCAATGAATCGCGTAGCGGAACACTTAGAGAAACAAGAAGGACGTGAAGACGAGTCAAAGTTATTACGTGATTTTTTCACGCAACAACCTATCCAACAAGCAATCAAAAGTAATAGTATCAGTCATATGAATGCTAAGGTATCATTTTTTTTTTATAAAATATTTTTAATTTATATTATTTTATCATATGATCGTTTATTTTATTTCATCTTTTTTTTTTTAAAATTATCTAAATTATAATATTGTATCATTTATTTTTTTTATTTGTATATATGAAATTTTATCAAAATTTTTCATTTTGATCAAACAACAAAAAAAAAATTTCATCCTTATTATCAAAGAAAAATTAATATTTTATATTACAAAAAATTATCAGTAAATTAATCAATTGCGAATGTTTTTTATTTTTTTTTATAATAAAAAAATTCAAAATGAATGTGCATGAATCCATTTTTTTTTTTTTTTTTGCTTTACAAATTTGAAATTTATGTTGAAACTTTAATTTTAATAAAATAAAATACGTAACATAATAAATTGCTAACATTTATCAGTTATATATTTTAGATATAATTGTGATAATTGTTATCACTTGGACATTTATTTATTTTTTTTTTTATAAGCGATAAAAGCAAGGAAGAAAATGCAAACAAATAAAATATGATTTTATGAGATAATTTTTTTTAAAAAAAAAAAAATTAAATATCATTTTAGTATTATCAATTTCAGCTATACATTCCATTGCTGGAAGGCATTTTTTTTTTCTTTTTTATCTCAATTATTTTCTTTTTTTGTGAAAAATTATTTTTAATCAAATTCTTTTTGTGTTTTTTTTGTTTTTTCGAATTGACTAATTAATCAAATTAATTAATCAATATTTTTCAATGATTATTAATACAAAATATTATCCATTTTTAGACTACAGAACCTAAACCTACTACATCAACTGATTTATCATCTGTTATCACTGATTACAACGACTCTAAAATGCTCCCAGTAACACGAATTCAGGGTGATTTGAAAATTGTTAAAGTTAACAAAAGCAATGATACATATCTCGTTAGTATTTCATTTCTTTTTACCTCTCTCTCTCTCTCTCTCTGTCTCTTATAAAGTTTTATTTTTCTTTTTACAAAAAAATTAAATTGAAATAATAAATTGAGTTAGAAATAATTCTTATCATACACGAATAATTTTTATGTTTATTTAAAAAGAATAAGCAAAAGTTATTAATCTAAACTTAATTTTTATTTGAATAATTTTATAATTAATTTGTAATATATATGTAATGAACATGATTTTAATATTTTTTTAATCTTTTTAAATTTATTTTTATTCAAATAATTTATAATTAATTTAGAATGAATATAGTTTTAGTAGTCTTTTTTTTTAATAAATAATTTTATCAAAATAATAAATATACAATTTTATTTTATGCTGCAATTATCATTTAAATATTTTTTGCATCATAATTATATATTTTTCTAAAAAAAATTGTAAATATATAAAATTTTGATTAAAAAAGATAATAACAAAAAATTTTATATAATTAAATTATAATATAATAAAATTCTAATTAACGTAATAAAATTTCATTTTTTTTTTGTTTTATTTTTTTGATATAATTGTATTTAATATAATAAAATTTCATTTCTTATTTTATAGGGTGCAACAATACGTAATGAAGGTGAAAAAGTAATTATTGGACGTGTAATACGTGGTGGTATAGCGGAAAAATTAGATTTACTTAGAGAAGGCGATGAAATTATTGAAGCTAATGGAAATGATTTACGTGGTAAAAATGTCACCGAAGTTTGTGAAATTTTGGTAAATAATTAATTGCAAATATTGCATAATAATTTTAATTAAATAAGAAATTGATAAAATGGTTTTTTTTTTTTTAAGAAAAAATAAGAAAATGATAAAAATTAAAAAAAAAAAATAATAATAATCATAAGCAAAAGCTATATGTGATAGCAAAAAATAAATAAATAAGATGAAATAATTGAAATATTGATTTGCAGTTTATTTTTAAAATTTAATTCAAAGTTTTTTTTCGATGAAATAAATTTTGTTCAAATGTAATGTTAATTAAATTTTAAGAGATCAATAACTGGTGAATTATCACTTGTGATAGCACCATTAAATAGATCAAATGATAAATCTCAAATGATAACATCAACAGAAGTTCGACATTTTCGAGCACTTTTTGATTATGATCCCGAGGTAATATAAGTTTTCTTTTATTTACTATTCAAAAAATTTTATAATTCAAATGTATTGGTAATATGTAAAGTAATCAAAATATATAAAAAACATATTTATGCAAATATTTTCATATGCATATATTTTAATTTATACTAATTAGTGAATAATTCAAAGATCTTTTTTTTTTCTTTTTTACATTATTAATTTTTTAAACATAAAACTATAATTATATTCATTTAAATATTTAAAATTTGCTCATTAAAATTAAGAAAATAAAAAAAAAAAAAAACTTGCAGATTAAATTTCAGTAATTTGAAAATTTTTACTTTTTGAAAAAAAAAAACAAATTAAGATTGCAAAGATGATTAGTACAAATAATAATTATAACTCATATTTTATCATTACTGTCAATTCGAGAATGATTAGAAAATGAAATGATATGATCTCATTTCATTGATAATTTTATTTTTTCTTTTCAGGATGATATTTATGTTCCATGTAAAGAACTTGCATTAAAATTTCAACGTGGTGATATTCTTCATGTGATTAATATGAGTGATGAAAATTGGTGGCAAGCTTATCATGATAATTGTGATATTACTAAACGTTCACTTGCTGGCTTAATACCATCAATATCATTTCAACGACAGTAAGTTTATCAATTACTGATCTACTGATAAGAACTATTTAAATCATAATTCATTATGTGTATTTACTTATACCATCAATATCATTTCATTACTTATACCATCAATATCATTTCAGTAAGCTCAGCTACTCATTTACTGACCCTATGTATGTATATTTGCTTACAATAATGATAATTTTATTAATTTTAATCATAAATAATATAATTATAATAATATCTGTAATATATTGTAGTTTAGCTTCTTTCTCTTCTTTTTTTTTTAAAAAAAAATTGGATATATTTTAAAAAAAAGACAAAAATTAAAAAAAAAAAGCGCAACTATTTGCCTACCAAATTTATTTCTAAAATTTATTATTTAATAAATGAAAAAAAGAGAAAGAAAAAGCAAATTATTTAAAGGATTACATTGTATGCACGTGAATTCGACAGAGAAAATCAATCAGAAATTAATAAACGCAAAAATTTGTTCGGTTGTAGAAAAGGAAAAAATTTAATTAAAGGATGGCATAAAAAAGGAAATGAAGAATTAAAATCATTGGATGAATTAAATGATGAAAATGACACAGGTAAATACTATCATTTTTCTCTTCTTTTTTTTTTTTTTTGTAAATAATTTTTTTTAAAAAAACAAAATAGAAAAATAAAAAATAAAATTATATATATAAATTTTTTTTTTAATTTTCAGAAATTTTAACATATGAAGAAGTTACATTATATTTATCAAAAACAGGACGAAAAAGGCCACTTGTTCTTTGTGGCCCAGAAGGTGTTGGCTGTTTAGAGCTAAGACAACGCTTGGCTGAATTTGATAAAGATAAATTTGCCAGTGCTATACCACGTAAGTTTAAAAGAAAAAAAAATGAAAAAATAAAAAATTGAAATTTCATTTAGCTAACTTTTTTTTTGTTTACCATCTTCAATATTTTTTGGAATTGGAATAGATACTAAATTAATTGTAATTAAATTAATATAAAATTATTTGTGAAAAAAAAAAAGGGTGGATTATTTGAAAATGTTAATAAAGAAATAAAATAGGAAAAAAATAAAAAAGAAGTAAGAATATATTCATAATTTTTCGTTACTTTTTTTTTAAAAAAATATTAATTATAATACCAAATGAATTAACTGATCAGATTCGATGAGAATTGATGATTAATTAATAAATATTATAAATTAATAACTGAAATGTGCAAATTATTTCAATTTTAATCACAATAAGAAATAAATTAATTGACCATATCTAATGAAAATTAATGATAAATTAATAACTAAAATATGCAAAATTAAATTTTGTAGATACGACACGTCCAATGAAATCAGGTGAAATTAACGGTGTGCACTATCATTTTGTAACAAAAAATAATTTTCAAGAAGATGCAAAAGCGGGTAAATTCATTGAATATGGTGAATTTGAAAAGTTTCTCTATGGTACTTCATTAGCATCAATTCAGGCTGTTATTGATCGAGCTAAAATATGCTTATTAACACTTAAAGCTGAGGTAATTATTACTTCGAATATTTTCAATTTTATTTATTTAATGAATATAAGAAAACAAGAAAGAAAGAAAAAATGAAATATTTAACTTTTAAATTTAATACGAAATTATTTTTCGTTCTTTTTTAATTTTTTTAATGATTTAAAAATAACAAAAATTAGTTAATACGCAATGTATTTTATCGTTTTTAATTAACAAAATATTAAAAAGAGAAAAAAAAGCGAAATGCTTAATCTTTAAATCTAACATAAAATTATTTATTTTTTTTTTTTTTTTTTTTTGCTTTTATCTTTACAATGATTGAAAAATAATAAAAATTATTACTCAATGTATTTTATCATTTTTTATTTCACAAAATATTATTTTTTGCGACAAATTTATTGATAATTAAAATGTGATCAAACAAATAAACAAATAAACTTGTCCACATTAATGATTAAAAGTTAATATACTTAATATTTTATAAAATTATGATTAAATAATTGATTCATTTCATCGTTATTGTTGTGAAAAATTTGTCTTTGAGTAAAATTAGCAATAATTTTATTTCCTACAAAAATTTTGAGTAATTAATTTAAAAAAAAAGGATTAGTGCTATTGCAATTATAGTAAATCGATTAATTTATTTTATAATTAATTAAAATTAGATGACAAAAATTGATTGTTAAATAAATATGAATTGATTTAGTTTTTTATTTATTTGTTTATTTGTTTTTGTTTATTTCAGAATTTGAATGCATTACGACGGACGACATTTATGCCTTATGTTGTATTCATTGCGCCACCATCACTGCAACAACTTCGTCGTCAGAAAGAAATTTTAGGACAACATGGAATTAAAGATGAACAATTAAAATTAATTTTAAATGAAGGTAAAACTACTGAAAAGGTTAGCATTGCTTGTTTGTTTATTTATTTATTTGTTTATTTCTAATATTAAATTATAATGAAAAAACTTTTTGATATTATATAATTATAATAAAAAATTGTAAGCAAATACAATGAAATGTTATTGTTATTATTTTATTAGATAAAATTAATTGAATGCTAAAATAATTAATTATTAAGACAAAAAAGTTTAATTGATAATTGATTATTTTCTATTTTTTGTATTAGCAACTGTTTAAATTATGAAATTACTATTCATTATTATTATTATTTATTATTATTATTACTATTATTTTGTCATGACTATTGTTATTATTACTATAATTTTTATCATTATTTAAAATTTTAATATAAATTTTTTTATCCTATGCCGATAACTATTACAGTAACAATAAATTTATTATTATTATTATGTTATTATTAACAATATTATTACTATTGTTATCATTTCTATTGCTATTATTAACAATATTATCACTGTTGTCATTGCTATTGTTATTATTATCAATATTATTATTATTGTTAGCATTGTTATTGTCATATTATTAATAATATTACTGTTGTTATTCCATAATTATTATTATTAATTATCAATATTATTATTGATTACTATTATCATCTTTTTTTCTTACTTAAAAATGTTTGTTATTATTTCTAGCATTTTGGTCATTTATTTGATCGAATAATAGTGAACGTTGATCTCGATCGATCATTAGAAGAACTTAAAGAAATTGTTCGACGATTAGAAATGGAACCACAATGGGTGCCAACATTTTGGCCAATTAATCCCACCAATATTATTTCATCAACAAAATATGATGAAAAATTAATATATTAGAATATTTTTGCTATTTTCATATAATCGATTATTTTATAATTATTATATTGAAATTTAATTAACTGTTTTAAATTTTTTATTTTTTATTTCTTTCCTTTTTCATTATTAAAATGAATGATTGTTTTTTATTTTATAAATAAATTTGCAACGAATTCGTTTCTTTTTCCCTTCAACTAGTCATTCTTTTCTTTTTTTTTTTTTTTTTGCAGATAATTTTAATAAAAAAAATCGAAATTCAAAAAACCAAAAAAAATCAAAAATTTAATAAAAATCAAAATTTACAAATGAAGTTTTAAAATGATTGAAAATTCTTCGATTTCATTCTTTTCCTTTTTTCGATTAGTAGTAAGAATTAAAATTATGAATTATTTTCGTCTTTAATTTGTTAAATTAAAATAAATTGAATTAAGGTTAATAATTTTATTAACGGCAAAATTATTGTTAATAAAATTATTAGTATTATGCAAATAAACATTACTTAGCTCAATTAATTAGTCAAAATACATTTGTATTTTAAAATTATTTTCCGATATTTTCACATATAAATTTCATACAATAATTAAACGAACAATAAGTGTGCATTGAACTTAAATGTTATTCATTACTTTTCTTAATTTCGAATTATCGATTTTTTTTTTTTTTTTTTGTTCCATTTTGCTACTTTTGTCATAAACTTATGTAAACTCTTCAAATTTCTGATTATCATAAAGTTGCGCTTAACTGATCAATTTGAATTGATTTTTGTATAATAAACAATAAATAAATATTCAGATAAAGTGAATTTTGTTGCTGCTAAAAATTTTGGTTAGTTAAAATTGGAAAAAATGAAGATTAATTTATAATCAAATATGATAGATTTGTCTTTGTTTACAATCATATTGTTGTTTACAATAAATGATTCAAATCTAAAATAATTAATGATTACTTTTCATGGGCAAAGTAATAATTAAAATGATATTTGAATGAATAAAAGTGTTAATTAGCTTTAATCAAAAATACTCTTTGATCTATTTTCATGCAAAATATTCACTTTTAAGTTTAACTTTACAATTACTACAGGACAAAATGCTATCTGCCAGTGATTAATTTTATGTGATAATGTGATTTGACCTATATTTCAATATTTTTGCATTAGAGAATGAAACATATTCGTACAAATTAAAAAAATAAACAAAATATTCCATTGAATTAGGTGAATATCTAAATTGAATATAAAATAATTTAAAAAAAAGCTATCATTAATTTGTGAATTATAAAAGCCTTAGCAAATCGATGATTTATTACATATTTTTTAATTAGAAAAATAAGTGATTTGCAAAAAATAAAATAAGAAATTTGGAAGCTGATTAATTTGAAATAATTCATATCATTTGAAATTTCTACTTTAAATAATTTAAAATTATTAGCTGCCTAAAATATTTGCAATTAAAGATTTGTCATATCTCATAAATAATGATTATAAATAATTTTAAAAAGTAAACATGTTACCTTTTAACTATTCAAAAATACTGGCATAATACTTTTTTATTTTTTGAACAGAATGTTTAAATTTATTGAAGTTTCGGTCACCCAATAATTTTTAATTCAGCTTTTTGAATTTCGAATTAAATAATTTATTTTTTGAATGAAATAATTGAATTTAAAAGGGTTTCATCTAATGTTTAGTTCATCAATATTCATTTCATTAACATCGATTTTTTCGTTTTTCTTTCTCTTTTTTAGTAACTTTGTATTCTTAGTATTTACTATTATATTAGATAATAATTAAATTAGAATCGTTTCATTTTATTTATGTTTTATAGCCAATCAGTTATTATTATTATTATTATTATTATTATTATCATTATTATTATTATTATTGTCATTATCATTATTGTTATTATTATTATTAATATTATTATTATTATTATTATCAATATTATTACCATTATTATTATTAATATTATTATTATTAATTTAATTAACGTTACATAATTTAGCACATCTCTATAAATTTTTAATTTAATTGATGTGTCGATTATATCAAATAATAATATAATACTATAATATCAAATGTATTCATTCAAGCATTATCATTTGTCTCTATAAAACAATTGATTAAATACTATTATAATAGTTAATATTATGATACTACTACCATATCACATAATATTTTCATTCAAATATAATTGTATTTGTTATCATATCATATCATATCATATCAACAAAACACATGCATCATTCTTTTCTCTTTTGAAAAATGCTTAAAAGAATATATAAGAAATAAATTAATCACTTGCATAATGTAAGTAATTAAATCAAAAGTAGAATGAAATGGTTGTTAATTTCAGATGGAAATGATAAAATATAAGATATCACATATCATATCATCTTATCACATTACATCAATAAGACACAATCATAATATTTCCTGGATTATGCTTGAAAGAAAATAGGAAATAAAATAATTATTTATGTAATTCAAGCAATCAGATGAAAAATACGATAAAATGTTTGTTAATTTCAGAGAGAAACGATAAATTTAAAAACTTTTTTCTTCATTATTTCATTTCTATTTTTAATAATGCAAATTTTATTTAATTAAACATTGTCAATTCTAAGCACATTTATCGTTTATTTAAATACAAAATTTCAAGCTCATACAATATATTATAACACTATTCTTGTTTAATCTAATTGCTTAATAACACACTTATCAAATTATACTTTAAATATTATTTAACCGAAACAAATTCGAAAATTTTGTGCTCAAATCGAATATTAACTAAAAAAGAATTATTTTATTCTATCAGAGTTGTGTTATTTAAATAGATAGTAGAAAATTCAAATAATCAAAGAAAAAAAAAATCTATTAAAAGAAATTTATGCATCATTTTGTTTCTTTTTTCCTTTAATTTTCTCATTTCCTATACGTAAGACAATCTCAGAAAGAAATTTAACACATTTGTTTTACAATAATATTATAATCAAAATTTAACATTGTTTTCTGGGAAAAATGACTGAATTTAACATTCTGCTGTATTTAATTCTTAAAAATAAATTAATTAAAAAGAAATTAAAAGTTGCACTTTTTCCTAAATAAAAATTAAATTACCATAAATACAAGTTGTATAAAATTATTTAATAGATAAAGTTAACTGTCAAATAATATGTAATTCATTAATAATGAAATCGTTATGTTTACATTTAACGTTTTCAAATTTGGGCTGCGTTTATTGACAGCAATTCTATTTAAGTTTTTTTTTTTTATTTTTCTTTTTTTTTCTTTTTCTTTTTTCTTCTCTCTTTTTTCTTTTTTCTTTTTCTTTTTCTTTTTTTTTCTAATAATTGTGTTTGTAAAGAAGAGATGGATCGTAAATTTGAAAAATTTATATTTTTTTGATATAAGAAATATTAATTATCCTACTATACTATAATAGATATGACATAATCTTGGCTTGCATACAATGGAAAATGTTTATATAACCTAAGAAAATATGTTTGTGCCTATTTTTATACTAAACTTTTATAGATTTACTAGGATAAACTTTATAGTTTTTTTTTTTTCTTCTTTAAATATAAGGTTTTTCTTTTTCTTTAAGATGAGGTTTTTTGATAAGATTTATAGATTATAATTTGACGTTGATAGTTTCTGGAAGTAATGCACTTTCTTCCTTTGGTGATACTTTTTCCCTGATTAATTATCAATAGTAGAATGATGATAATATTTCATTAACGCAAAGATAATTCGCTCTTCGAAGGTATTACACTTTCTTCCTTCTGTGATATCACATTTGCTTCTCAAATTGTAAGAATATTGTTGATATTAAGAAATTGATATTATGCTGAAATTATTGGTATTATCTATTGACTAATAGTATTTATTGTAGATGTCTGATTCGGAGTGTAACAGTAACACTGATGGATCAGCAGATGATAGTAGTTTGAGTGATTTGGAAATGGATATCGAAAATAATGATGGACACTATTCCGACGCAGGTAGTTTGTCAAAAAAATTAATTAGTTAAATTTTCACATATAAATGGTACAATAATTTCTAGCATATAATATATTGATGATGACACAAAAACGAGCAGAAATATTTTTAATTTATGTTATTGTAGCAGATATTTTAAATTGGTCATATCACATACGTGTAAAACATTTAGCTTTGTACTCACTTTGTTGGAAAAAGGAAATAATGGAATAAAAGAAATTCTATTTACCAAATACATGATTTTGATTCATGATAATACAGAAATATGAGTTTAAAATTTGTTATTTTGCTTCATATTTTATTTAGGTTATTATAATATTTCTAGATGTTATCGGGACATTTGATAATGTTATCATCTTGCTTTACAGTGTCTTTCTATAGTTAATATTGACTTTTGATGCTAATTAATTCATGTACTGAAGGAATAACACTTTTAATCACAGCGAATTCTTGCAATCTTTTTTTTTACAATTGAAGAAGCGGCAATGGATGTGGATGAAGAGGAGGTTACATCACCATTTCAGAAGGAAGTTTGGCAATTAAAACATTTGCCATATTATGAAGAAATGCAAAAAGAAGCTGACGACCATTTTAGGTATAATCTTATTTGATACCACTTTAATTTGGCTAAGTTTTGGGAGGTTCATGCATATGGAAGTTTATCAAATTTGATTATGAATTATCATTTGGGATTTGCATCATTCTATTTTTCTGTCGGTAGAGTCAATAGTTTTTGGTAAGAAATGAAGAAAATCCAAGATGGTCGGAGATATTCAGGGTTTTTTTTTTTTTTATTTCTTATGCAGAAATTATTTCATTATAGATAGCTAGTTATTAGTCCTTTTTAGGCACATTAAGGTTGGTTTGGTCCATGCTGTAATGCTGCGAGATATACGACCTGGTTTTGTTCATTGGATATGTGAATTAGATAAGTAAGTTTTACAATTCTATTGTTATAATTTTAACATTCCCTTATTTCAAAATATACATTTTTCATGTGTAACAGATTCTGTTCGTTCATTCA